TATACAAATGGGAATGAAAAAGACATGATTAAAAGTTTAATTAGAAGAACGAAATGGAGTGGGTTTTCTATTACTGCATCCTTGCTGTAACTCACATGGCACTGCATACTAATATGATCCTCTTATTTAATTCATGAATTAGCTAGATTAAGGTTTTTATATACGTTTATTCATTTCCAAAAAATGGAATTATACATAAGAGACAAAGATTTTTGATCAGCATTTACCAGTTGATGAAAGACAATCAGAAAAGACATGGTTAGGGTGGCCAAAATATGATGTGATCATAATATGGACGTCGGTGCTCGGGCCCTAAAAAGAGAACAGCTGAAAAAAATGACAAAATATTAGGGTGGAGGAAGGGACAGATAAAGCAATGCGGTGGATATGTTTAAAAAAAGAACAATTTTAGAAATATAGGAAAACTGAAGAATAAGCCGACAAGATAAAAAAAGTACTCGACACGGCTCATCAGAAATGACTCCAGTAGGGTGGGAGATCTCACACACACACCATTCTGAAAATTTCAACTGACAGAAAAAGAGATGTGCATAACACTGTCTGCAATTACACCCATGACGAGTAGAATTCCACATTTTTAATCACAATCTCTTTGTTCACTCACTGGTAGTGATTTTAAAGAGTCTGGAAAGGACAGTCCCACCCTCATACAGTGCAGAAAAACCATGTTAAGAGGAGAGGCTACACAAGACCTGAAAAAATGTTAAAGTCATTTTTGTGTTATTATCCCCTTTGGACCATAATTCATTTATCAGGATCCACATTTAAGTATCAAGTATCATCAGACAGATGACACTTCATTCTTGGTTATTCTCAGTCAGCCAGTGTTGTGTTCCAACTACATTGGCTAATCTCTAGTTTTTGTAAGCCAGTGAATATTTTAGTTAGGATTAACTTGATTAAGTGGCCAGAGGCCTTCTTCAGTTTACGTGCATGCTGAAGAAGCCTCTGGCTGAAAGCCAGAGCATTTGTGCAGCATTATTTTTCCTGTGCTGATGAATGAGGAAACCAAGAGTTCAAAACCTTCCGACTAAGTTAATGAGAACAAACCTTTTCTACTTTATGTAACAAACGGTTTGGTTAAACACACCAGAGCAAAGAGGACAGAGATGCATTTTCATAGCTTCGGTAAAATCTTGTTTTTTTCGGGTTCAATGAATTGGCATTTTTCATCCTCAGGAAGAAAACTACAAATCATTCGGGTGACATATTGTCGCTGTCCTGTGAAAACCATGTAATTCCAAGATGTCAACATTTCACGAATGATGGAAAAACAGCCTTGCTTTCAGACAATACACTGTTCAGGTAACCGGGTGGGGTTGTAAAATTGTTCATTCAACTTAAGAAGAAGGGGGGTTCCCACAAATCATCAAGGACTACTTACTTTTGGTTTGATTGCCAAATGTGGGGATGCATGGTTTTCACAGCGGAGATATATACGTATATTGTCTAGCAATCAAAATCAACACAGATATAGTGTTCACAAAGAAGTCGTTAATTCAGGACAGGCATCTACATGTGCACACTGTAGAAAATAGTCAAGTACTAGATAATAAAAATACAATAGACAAAGAAGAAAAACATTCAAATTAAGCAGTGATTCAAAATAAAAGAAAGAAATACATGAATGCATCTCCATTAAAATAGCATACATGAATCTAAATTTTAAAAGGCAGGCATGGCTCTTCTTTTCCACATTGTGATTTCATCATCTGATTCCTAAGATGTGGACATATGGATGTTGGAAGCCTGAATAACCTTTCTAAGGATTCTATCTCGACTGTCATGATGAGTGCCCTGTGAGCTCGCTGATTTTATGCACCCTTCCTACGCACTACATACTCATATGTACATCATAAAAAAAAAAAACATATGCGCAGAAGAGTTAAAAGATAAAATTGCATCAGAATTAAAAGGGGTTCATCTCTCTTCTCCTTTCTTTGATGTCTACCTGTGAACCATTACCTCACGAGAATAGCTGTGCACTTCCCTTCAGTTCTTTATTGATTGAACCCACGAAACATAAAAATAATGAGTTGGTTGAGCAGTGTGGAGTCGTGACACACAAGTTCAGTGTAGGTTTATATAAACCTTTGTAAGAAGTTAAAAAGATAGAAAACACCATACAGAAGAATCAGCAAAAGTTATATGTCCTAGATGTCTAATTCCTACTTTTTAAAGTACATCTACATTCAGGTGAATGGTTTGTTTTTTTAGGCTAAAATTACATTTTAATTGAAATGTTGCATGATGTGCATATTTAGCTATTAGATGCTGCTGCCAGTGATCTGTGATCTTCTACATTGGCCAGATTTGACTCCTCCTCACAGTTTAAATGCCAAAAGTTAGCATTTAAGCTAATTGTCTGGTAAAAGGTCAATAGGCATTTCAAAATGAGACACATGGTGGGTGTTTATTAAATGTGCTGGGAGCTGCTAGTGCTTAAAAGAGCAGTCCCAGGCCAAGCCAACGTCTTCCTCCTCAAGGTTATAGCTTGTGAAGTCCATTTATGGCGTGTTGTCAAAGACGTGGACAATGCTGTCAGAGCTGTTATTGTTTTGGGCATTGACTGTAAAGACCAGTCAAGGGATTCAGTAAATCTGTCAGGGAATATAGTGATTTTGTATGAAGAAACGGCAATAAAGCTGCTTTTGGAACCACTATGGGGTTCACAAGTTGTTCCAAATGGTTCAACTATTCGTTTCCTACACATCCAATTATTCTAAGTGCACCCAGATAAAAGAAAAACAACATTTGAACACATGCTGCTATAATGGTGCCCTATACCTTTCTTCTGTGGAGTGTATGTTTCTTTCTTCTAATCACACTAATCACAATTACCACAGTTATAACTCTAAATACCCTTGCAATTACAGATTAGACGGTAGCAACCACTTAACAATTTACTTAAGTGGTCAGAGACACTGTATCAATCACGTAGTGCCACCCTAGTTGCCAAAAAAAAACAGCTAATAACAACTATCTGAAGATGTCCCAACACCCGCATCAAACACCTGAGCAACCATCAAGCCATGCCCGACTAAATATTCATACCACCACAGCGACCAGATGCAAACCTGAACAGCTAGAACATACCTGCAACAACCTAGCAGCCGCTTCAAGCTATGCCCTACCAGCCAAACATTTGGCCATGCACGGCTTAAAGGTTGACGCTAAGGTATTTTGCATATATAACTACAACAATTAAAAGTTACTTCAAGAATTGTATCCTTTTCTAAGTATAGAAAATAATCTAAAGACCATCTCAGTGTGTCTTTGTCGTCTGCTCGTGTTTGTTGGAAACCTAGATATATAGAATAATATGTGATGGTTATATATATTGCACTTTCCAGAAGAAGAAAAAACAACACTATTTTGAAGCTGACTGAGTTATAGGAACAATAGAGAAGATCAGCATAAATCCTACCAACATGGGACTCAATGCAGACCACAGCCAGTGACCTAACTGAATCAAAACGTTTAACCTCAACCAATTTTATGTGCGTAGGAGGACAAATTTTTATACATGCACATGACTGGTTTGATCTGAGAGGAATGTATTGTTCACTAGGGGATGAAATAAGACTAAATGTTACACTTGAGCTAGCGTTCATGTCAAAGGGAAAGCTGTGAGGTGAATGAAATGATTGGCTCTTATTATAAATGTATTTCAACAGCATAAAACTAAAGTAAAATATCTCTATTAACTACACGCCTCTCAATAAGCTGTGTGAAGTGCTATCGCTTTAAAGAGCACTATGAAGAGCACTGTGATTGTTGAAGAAGTTGCACCATCAGTTCTCTAATTAAATGCAGAAACGATAATTGCTCTTGAAAGAACGTATTTTCAGGAGAACTCTCAACACCTCCTGTCACACTTTGTCCACACACAAAATGCACACACACACTAATATATTTTGGCCCAATGCAAAACCAATTCGGAAAAGCTTTTCCACTCTATTGGGATTATTATCAAGCCAAAAGAAAGAATCTTTTCCAGGCCTGTCATCTATCAATTGGGTGTTCAAGCAGTCTTCAAAGCACAAGGCTAATACGTTTGGTGCGTGACAATAAAGCTTTTCCCAAAACCTATAGAGTCCTTTGAGTAAGTGGCAGCGGAAGACTTAAAAGTGTTTCTTTGACAAACCACTTAGTTCTCTGATTTTGGAGGACGAGTAATGATTCCTTCAGAGAGAGGAAATAGAGGCGGGGGGATGATAAAATAAGCCTCTGTGATTCTCAGACTGGTTTTAATAACCTGCGTAAACTCCAATAAATCAAAGAAACAATCACGCTATTCAAACACTTGACCTCAGTTACACAGGCTTTCATCATTCTTTTTCCCTAGGGTGACTGTCACTGCAAGCATGCTTCCCTTATGCTAATTATTAGTTGTAAGACATAACTCGTTTCACTTAAAAGAACATTACCACTAATGGGTAAAAGTTGCTATTTGCATCCACTGACATATGATCTGTGAGTAAAGCGCTAGAGGATTCGTTTTAAAAGTCTTTAATGCGATGAAAACATTCTTGAGATACATTCTGATGGACTAAAAATATCAGAGATATATACTATATTATACAGTTTACCTTCATGGAGATTGCTTGCTTTCTCGCTCATGTCTGAATGGTTTGCACAGTTCATGCAACTGTTTTGTATTTAGGCTGGGTCTTTGAACAAAGCTTTAAGAGAGAAAGAAAACGATTAAGACAGCACGTGTCTATCACCACAGAGAATCGTACTGCGTGTCCCCAGAGGATTGGAGAACAAATCTACCCCCGGCCCAATTAAAAAAAATGCACTGACATTCATTCTTGAGAATGCACACGTCTCCCTTGTGCAACTAAGAGTATTTTATTTATGACTATAGATGTCCTTTACTTTTAGAGGATAAAATGGAGTTGACCCCGCTGCCCTGTAATGTCAAACATTACTGTGCAGCATGTGGAAAATATTGATATGCCGGGATTGTTTACCTTGCAGATGAAGCTTGCTCTCAGGGCTCTGCAGAAGGATTGAGCTGACTGAGTCCAGATTGTCATAGCTACTGCATCCCAGGGGCCCCGTCCTCGTCTCTGTCACCTGCGAAAGAGTAAAGACTGAAATGAAATGACCATTTGAAGCAAACAAATGCACTTGTGCCATTTGTTCCAATGTGTGCGTGTGTTTGAGAGTGCAAACATCTGCATGCACATGATGTGCATATAGGAGTGGACGCATTTTCACTTCTTAGTCTTCACAGTGTGCAGTACTCTGCTACACGCTACACTTTAAGACAACATATGCAAGACCCCCCTCAGCCATTAACAATGTCAGGCGGTAGTAAGATGTTAACATCTGCTCATCACTGCTGTCAGTGGATAATGTAACAGTATTAGACACAGACTTAGATTTCCACATGTGCTAATTGCACTGAGTTAACACAACAGTCCTGTGGCCCACAGACACAGGAATATTGTGCAGTGACAGAATGTCTTGCTACAGGTTTTCACACATGTAACATGCTTCATAATCTCTGCAGTTTTCCCCAAGACTACTAATTTCCAACTTGTTGCAAAGATGTTATTTCTTTGAGACAACTTTAAAAAACTTTTCATTTTGAAGGAGCAAAATAAATGGTGATTGTTCTTGAACTATGTTCTTGTTGTGTTCCATACAACAGCCCTGAGACTACAGCAGTGGTTCTTGTTCCCCATCCACAGACCTATGTCTAAAGAAGTAATCACGCTATTCAGTTTTGCAGAGGCTGCTTTAATAGATACAGCTCACACATTTGAGACCTTGGGAGAGATTGCGCTTGAAAAGAAAGGAAGGAGAGAAATCTCTCCTCTTTTCAGTTGCCTCCGCTCATTAGGTTCTTCATGGTAGCTCCTAATAGTACTTTGACAAGGTTCCAAAAAGCTAAAAGAGATCAGCAAAGGAGATTAAGGGAGATACAAAATTAATTTGACGAAAAGCCTTCAGTGTTTCTTGCAGGTCTTAGTTGAGCACACAAATGAAAAAAAAATGCCAACGTGAACATGTCGCAGACTTATAATTTGAACATGCCAGAAGACATGTTTTGACATCTATTTTGTTTATGTTTAAGTACAGAAATAGATTGTGTATCTGTAATGGTAAGGAGAAGTTTCTTTAGTATTATACTGTATTGTGTTTAGTACTGTCGACAGAGTGGGGGTTTTCTGCTTCACCAGTGGCACATGAGCTGAAGAATGTGTGATCAGCATGTGTCTGCCGCAGGTGTTGAAAGGGATTTTCTCGGCCACTTGGGGGCAGCGGAAACAAGCTGTTATCACATTATTGACATACCGTGGCGTCACCTTTTAGGTTGATATGGTGAATTTGTTAGCAGCAGTACCATCCATTTAGAGTTTTGTTTCTTGGTGAGTCTCCACTAACTCCTTTAGCCATCAAACGCTTCACTATGTTTTCTAGTTTTGTTTGTCAGCCATTCGGTGCTGGTAGGTAGTGTGCAGTGGTTTTATCATAGCTTTCTCACTGAAAACAAAAGAGCGAAACAAACAGTAAAGCTGCAGGCCAGAAAAACCAAAACAATGAGCTGAAAGGCGCTATGTTCCGCCATACAGAACTGTAGTGACAAGTGTTCATTTTCTGTGCCCGTGCGACCCACTTCTGATAAAATATGCATGTGATTCACTGCTAATATAAAAACGTTGAATATAGCTGCTTTGAATTTGAACAGGAAATCCCAGAAATGGGAAAGAAAATAGAAAGGACAAAAAGATAATTGCAGAACTAATACTAAATTAAAATCTCACCTTAGAACTGGACTAATGTTCCTCAATATGTTTTAAAGACAGTTTTTAGCTTTGTCTAGGAAATTACCGTACACTTATATGAGTAGAGGGCTTGGGTGCAGATGGAGGGTGTTCCAAACAGATCCAAAGGAGGGGAGAGGGGCCAATTCGGACACCGACGATGATTTAACTACTTACTTCTTTGCTTAATGCAAGTCATTCTGCTCTCAGTACATCAGCTGTCAGAAGCACCCATTTACACCAAAACCAACAATTGACCAGCTACTTGTACTCGAAACGAATTACTGAAATCTACTTAAGACTAAATTGGGGTCTTGAGAAAAGGCTTCACGCCTCAGGCTTCACCTGACAAAAACATCACTTTGTCAGGTAAACAACAATGACCAATGTGAGTAAGATGTCCACCTCCTATGGCCTCAGTAACTTGAGCATTCTACACTAGTGTGTGTGTTTGTTTGTGTGTTTAAATGACAGTACGGACCCATTACTCCCATCTTTAATGTTGATACTGCACCAGATGGTGGGCTGACAAGCAAGAAATTAGACAGATCTTACCCTTGGCATCAGGCTGTTGGGGGGGGAAATGCAAAATCATGGGGAGACAAACTCCGTTACAATCTTAGTTTCAAGAATAAATTCAGCTAATTTTCATCAACCGCAGACACATAGTATTCACATCCCAATGCTGTAACATGATTTCTGTATGTATTGTGTCATTTTATCACAATAAATCTTTTAATCTCTGGGTGGTAAAGTGGTACTATCAATATGACAGTGGTACTGTCGCATTCTTGTTGTGCAAATTTGAATGACAATAATAAACTCAATACGGAGTGCCATAGAAACATCAGTTATAGAAATATGTCTCAATGCTATTGTAATGTTAGAAACTATAAAAAAAAATGCTGTATGTTAAAGTCAGTGTAATGTCTTAATGCAACCAGTGCTCTTTAACAATGTTTCCCCAAATGCACATTTATGTTTACTATAAGGGCAATTTTACTCGAATAAAAGTTGATTGCATTTAACTGAAAACTGTATATGAGACATACATGATTATCTTATTGCATTTTTTACTGGAACAACTGGTCCACACTTTGCATGTTCCCGTCTTTATTTCTTCCCAGCCAAGCAATGGACTTTAAAATGCACAGCATGGCCTTGCATAAAGTGTATGTGCAGATTGATTACAGAGCTAGACTTGCCTATCACACTCCACCATCTTGATGGCTGCTGACGGTGCTCTTTTTCCTCCATTTTTGTTGTGCTTATCGCCAAATGAATTACTTCCTTCCAAAGATTGTGTTGCATGATCCACGGGGACTGAGACAAGTGACTATCTGTCCTCTGTCACCATCGGACATTTTCTCAGGTGGCAAAGCAGGCATACTCACAAACTACATTTGCAGTTGCACACAAATCACACACTCAAATGGATGTGCATAAACATGAGTGCAGCTTGCCAGCGCCAGTTTACCATACAGTCATTTTTCTTCAAGAATTATTATTCCAAGTTGGGAGCAGACATCCCCAGCTTTATGGATTAGAGATTGACCCTTGTAATCTGAATGACTTTAGGAGGGCAGTATGCTGCGCTTGTTCGGCTCTCTCTTTTCATTCTCTCCAGCACACGCCATAAGAGTGCTGTGCACCAGATTATGAAAATGGAGTATAACGCAATAAAAATACAAGGAGCAATCAAAGGACTGAAGTGGGCCGAGGGGGATTTAGAGGATTTGGATTATTAAGCAGAACATAACAGTGGAATCCCAGTGGGCCCAGACTGAATCACAGCCCACAGTGAAACCACGGTTCTGGAACATCCTCTCTAATTGTCATCTGTCATCAAGAAAATCATCTTAGGAAGTAAATAAGAAATAATGCACATGAGATCCTACTTTTCTTCTGTTTCTATATTTTCTTGTTGGCAACCAAATGTGCATTTACTATTCCCCAAGTGCCAAATGTTGGGAAAACTAAGTTTCTCCTCTTCTGGGATAAATTCTTTGTTTTTCAAAATGCTAAAAATTCACCCTGGTGACATGCATGCAATGCAGCTGCAGTGTATCGGTGGTGTGTAGGTGGAATATGTGGGTTTTGGACATGTGTTTGTGTGTGTTGAGACTCAATTACATCACTTCTTTCTTTTCATATTAAAATGAATCATATATGAGCTTGTCTCTGTCAGTTACATACATCATCAGTAGTACTGTAGTAGAAGCACACCAGCTAGGTATTGAGACCTCAAGCATATTATGCACTTTTCTCAAGCAATGCTCTCATTATACATATCCTATAATTAGAGTAGAAATGTTTATCACTTCAATGGATTCAAAGTGGCTCAGTTGATCCAGTCTCGTTAGGAACCCCTAGCAAGCAAGACACTGAATGCACTGTATACTGTATTTATCTTACAATTGATGCCAGCCCTGTCCATTGTTTAAGCACACAGGCCTATTGACTTGTATGGTTGACCTTTACGATGCACCTGCCTTTAGTAAAAAAACGGCAATTAAAAATCTCATTAGGATCCTGGAGTTTGACCATTTATAGCTCCTGAAATGCAGAGTTTGGAACTGTCAACAGTCAACATGGGAGGCAAAGGTCGACTTATGACCGAGAAAACACATGCTGTTGTTACACCAAGCGCTACAAATATTCTAACAGAGTAATTGCAAAATGGACTTACATTATCTTGGAGCGCTATGAATCATCAGGGATATTCGCAGGCCTCTCAAAACATAAATTGTGAGACAAATGTCACAGGACTCAATCAAAATATCAGTTTCTTCCCAACATGTTTCATGGAAGTTTTATGCAAGTTTTGCACATTTGCATATATCTGTATCCTCGCGTATTAATACAAAATTCAGTAATATACACTAAACTAAATAACATTGTACTATAATGTAAAATCAAAGGGCTTTACATTTCTATAAACTAAAGTACTAGCTGTATATTAGCACTGCAGCACTGTGAGAATGGAGGAGGAGAAATCATATGCATTCGAAATCACGCTTGGATGTGTGTGGTATACGTCTCAGTTGTACAATAAAACCTCTTTTCACCAACTTCATTAAAAATATCACACCATATGGAGCTCTCGTTAATTCTATAATTCCTGCAACTTGTGATGGGAGCAGTCTCTCGTTCACTTCTGATTTTCAAACCACACTGAGAGGAGTATACTGCATTTCTCAGCAAGCAAACCTCCCATCATACTCTGTCCCCAAGTTGCATTTCAACTTGAAAGGCCGAGAAAAATAAAAAGGTGGTTTGAAGCTATGTGAGATAAAGAAAACA